ATGTAAGATTAGATACAGTACTATGTTTTATTTAAATTTTGACCAGGTAACAACTATTTTATTATGTTTGATTAAAATTTTATTTGAAACTTATAGATTTGTAAAATTCGAATAAAATTCTATCAAATTTGATTGGATAGTTGTTAAAATACTTTTATTTAAATTTGTAATTAAATATATAAAAAATTTAAAGAACAGATGGGCTGCTGTCAATAGAAGTAAGGCAGATTGACATTTTAAAAAAAATCAATACCTTAACTTTCACAGCTCTTATCTCGATGAATTTTAAGCCTATCTTGACTATTTAATAGTCAAAAGAAAGCTTACGATCTAAGCTTTCTTCTGAATATTAAATCATCAAGATAGCTTCAAAATTCATTGAGATACGAACTGTGAAAGTTAAGGTATTGATTTTTTTTAAAATGTCAATCTGCCTTATTTCTATTGACGGCAGCCCAGATATTTAGATATTTTTACACTCATGTAAATCACTTTTTTAAAAAATTTTGATTGATAATATCTCGACAACCACTGAATACTTTACAGAAATTTGCAAAAAGTTTATAATAAAGAAATAATATTTTAAACCATTATTAAACCGTTTTTTTAAAAAAAATTGTTATAAAAACGGTTTTATAAAAAAAAAAATTTTAATAATTTTCAAATTTTTTTTTTTTTTTTTTTTGCAAAAACCATTATGCATTACAATTACCAGTTATAAGCCCATTTAAGAGAAAAAAATATTATAAAAACAATTTTTTTAAAACCATTTTAATATCGTTTTTAAATTATTTCTGTATTATAACCTTTTGAAAGTTCTGTAAAGTAATTCGATGGACTTTTTTTTATTTGAATTTAAAAATTCGTAGAGTATGAATAAAAAAAATTTTATTAATTTGGTTTGGTAGTTATTGAGATACTTTTGATCAAAGCCAAAGAAAGTTTAAAAAACTTTTATTGATGGTATCTTAACATCTATCTAACCAAATTTGATAAACTTTTTTATTTGAATTCTACAAATTTCATCGAAATTTATTAGATAGTTGGCAGGAACCGTTGATCAAAGTTAAAAAATTTTATATTATTTTAATAGTGTTTTTATTAAAACTTAATTCGTAATCCGCCAGTAAACCAGTGAAAAGACATAATAAACATTGGGGATATGTTTACTATGTAAATTTTGCCTTTTTAGGAATCTGGAGTTTCCCAAAGAAAAGGCTTTTTATTTACTAAGTAAACTTCTTTTTGACGCCTAAGTAAAGTTGTAGAGGAGTGTCTTGCGATTATAATGACGATTAAAACGTTAAAATCAGCCCAGTGGAACGCGAGATATGAGCATTTTAGTCTTCGCGACTATATATTTTCTTCTTTATTTATATAAAGAAGAAAACATATAGTCGCGAAGACTAAAATGCTCATATCTCGCGTTCCACTAGGCTGATTTTAACGTTTAACAGCCATTCTAATCGCAAGACACTCCTCTACAAGTTTACTTAGAAGTCGAAAAGAGGTTTACTTAGTAAAGAAAAAATCTTTTCTTTGGGAAACTCCAGATTCCAAAGACAATAGTAAATATCCCTATTTTTTACTATGTGTTGTCACTGGTTCATAGGCGGACCACGAATTAAATTATAAATTTATATAAATCAAACAAAAAAAAAACTTATTGAATTTGGTCAATTAGTTGCCAAGGTATCTTTGCTTAAAGTTTGAAAAAATTTGCTATAACTTCTATTTTGACATGTTTTGATTTTTTTAAAACTTTGAGTGAAGATATCTCAACAACCACCTGATAAAATTTGATAACTCTTTTTTTATTTAAATTCTAGGAGTTTATAGAATTTAAATAAAAAAATTTTATCAGATTTAGTCAAGTGGTTGTTAAAATATCTTTACTAAAAGTTTTAAAAAAGTTAAAACAAAATAAAAGCTATATTACAAATTTTGTTGTAAATATATTATAACTATTTGACAAAATTCAATAATTTTTTTTTTATTTAAATTCTATAGATTTATAAAATTAAAATAAAAAAAGGTTAGATATAGCAACCTAGCATAGTTGGTTGGTTATTATCTTTCAAGCTTTTTGTAACTAAAGATACAAAGTTTAAATCTGTTTTGAATAATTATCTTGTGTTATAGTAACTAATCTTTATCAATTAGTTAGGTTCTAGGGCTTGTAACTCTGGTCAAACTAGTGTATTTGTACACTAAAAGGTTCTAAAATATCTATATAATACTAGAGCTATATAGAGAAATACAAACTAAAATAAATAATACAAATCTATAATAAATATTTTAGAACTATAAAAAACTAAAAGAAAACTAGATCAAAAACTAGCTTAAGAAGATTTAAATAAAGAGATAATACAGATCTTTAACAATGTTATAAAAAATATTAAAATTAAAAAAAGATATTTAAATTAAAAATAAGAGTACAAAAAACTCTTAAAAGTAAGAGTATAAAGTATTCTTAAAGAGAAAGAGAATATAATATACCTTTATAAAAAAAATCAACTAAGGTTGCCAAAGTACAAGCTATAAAAATATATATATATTATAGAAGTATACAGTATACTAGAGTTAAGGTAACTATAAACTAAAAATTTAACAAATTTAACCTTTTAGCTATTAGATTAGAATACTTTAAAAGCTAGAAATAGGAGTTTATAAATTAGAAAAAATAAAGTATATAGATATCAGAGTTTTAAATAAACTCTACAAGTATATAATAATTAAATAAATTTACTTTAACTGCAAATAAAGACCTTGGCAACTATGATATTAAGTTAGCTAAAATAGAATATAGAAGACTTTAATAGATTTATTTCAAGAATAAATTAGTTTTAAAATATAAACAAAATTTATAATTATATATATAGAATTAAATTAGAAGACTTCATTAGATGAAATTAGATTATAATTAAAAAGTTTAAATAAATAACCTTCTAATTAAATTGCAAATATAGCAGCTAGTATAGAATTTAAAGTAGCACAAATTAAATAAAGGCAAATCAGACACCAATTAGCATTATATAATCTCAATATAAAACTGATTTGAAACAGATATTTAGTACAAATAGGAGACCTTTAAGATACAAATTGGTTTTATATAAATGTTCAATATATATCAGAATGCTAATAGCTTTATAGATAAATCAAAAAAGCTATAAAGCAAGCTTTATTAATTTATCTATAAAGCTATTGATATTTTAATATATATTGAATATCTATATAAAACCAATTTGTATTTTAAAAGTTTTCTATTTGTGCTAAATATCTGTTTAAATTAGTTTTATATCAAGATTATGTGATGCTAATTGGTGTCTGATTTGCCTTCATTTGATCTGTATAGTATAGCAAAAATTTGTTTTGATTAGCTAAAATAAGAGTAATTTTAATTGTTAATTTGTGATCTGTTTATCAATCGGTAAAAATTATTAGTAGTATATGGGGAAGATTTTGTAGATCAATAAGAAAAATCTAGCAGATTGCAGTTTTTAGTTTTTAAATAATACTATGAATAATACAAGCTTTTTCGAATAATCACTTACAGGTAGCATGTCTAAACCTCCAAGAATATATTGATCAATTTTTTTTCATTTTATTAAAAAAAAAAAAAAAGTTATTTGTCGGCATAGCCAGATTCTGAGGCAAAAACTACTTATGATTTTACTATTTCACATAATATAGCAATTGATGTTTACTTGCTAAGTTGTATTTTTGCTTATACTTTGGCTACTAGCTTGAACACAAATCACTATTTGACTCACAGAAAGTAAGATCGAGTATACACCACAGTTGAGAATGTTAAGACAATCTCCATAAGTATTTCATAATTTTATTTGAATATATGTTATGAGTGATCTACCGTTATTCATAAGAATTCACTATACCTCTCGAACTTTTTTTACTTTTTGTGTTAATTTAGCGTATAAGTATTAGAATCAGCAAATTTATGTTTATTTAAATAATTTTATACGTGAATAAGTATGGTTGGTAGATGATTTTGATATTAACTAGAACTGGTTTTGACTTTAGTTAACTAAAATTCTAATGGAAGAAAATGTAGAAACTGTCAAGAGGTAATCAAAGCTGTTATAATTGTTAAAACTTTGAAAAGTGTTCAGCTCTTATAATTACGAGAAAAGCGATTCATCTTATAACATTGGCCAAAGTATTTAAACACCTCAGATTTTGTCAGAGTTAATTACTAATTATTAACTGGTAATTAACTCTAATAAAATCTGAGTTGTTCGAATACTCTTGGCCAAATAGAGATCAATTCTACAAGTTTGATATAATTCTATGTTTGAATATAAACCTATGTAGTCTATATCCAATAATCTTACATTCGTTACAGGCTTATAGAGACTAGCTTACTTATTTCAGGATTTTTATTTACATGTTTTTTATTTGTAATTAGGATAATGGCACTATAATAAAGTAGAAAAAACATAATATTCATATGCATAATCATTTATAATATTTATTTACGCTAGGCTTCTTCTATATGTAAGGAACCAACTTTTGAAAAAAAATTAAATTGGCTAATATAATATTCTAGTAAGTGTTATATTATTTGATTCATTTTTGAAAAGCCGATTTCTAATTGTAAGATCCTAGCTGTTTAAACACTAGTTAAAATTAAACAATTCAACATATTGAATTTTTAATTTTAACTAACTGCTAAGTGAAACGACAGAACCTTAGTATATTTTTTTGTTGAGTTGTGGATACTACTATTTTGATAACAACTTGATAGTGGCATTATAATAGGCTTACAACTACAATTTGAAACAAATTCAAATTAAAACTACTAACTGAAAAAAGCCAATATTTTAGTAGTTATATTTTAGGTAAAGTTTAATATGCAATAGAGATGTTACGATTGCCAGACATCTTATTTATTAATATCTTTTGATTTATTCAAAAAGCATACCACCAAAGATAATCTACTTCTCATTGATGCTTATTATGGTGGGTTAAGAACTTCTATTTTATGCTAAATTTAAAGCATTTTCATTCATAACTTTTAATACTGCTTGTTCTTGGTGTTCAAATGTAGTTTTCGTTATCCAATTCTGGATTGTTGCAAGTTTAGGAACTTCTTCACTAGAAATTTCGCCATCTTCAGCACATTTTAATAATTCACGATACATGTCTTGAGCATTGTAACGGTCTAAAGAAGTCTTTAAATGTATTTTGAAACATTCTAGCCAATGAATTTGATGCATCATTAAAAACTCCTTGAAGA